TTTTTCTTTGTACTATTCACGCAGGTCTTTATATGAATATACATTTCTATATTACATTCAACCAATTTCAAAGGCAATTCTTATAACCAAGGAAGATTTGTACAATCCAAAATAGGAGCAAAGACTGTAACCTCTACTTTAAACCCAGTAAACCATAAAAATACAATCCCTGAAATCATTCAAAATTCCCTTTGAACCACATTCCACCATCCAAAAATATGCTAGAAAAGGAGGCTAAACGTTTCAACAAATTCATTTACTTATGGTGATTATGCTCTTAGTAGAAGAGGATCTGGGAAATCAGGTTGGTCCTGTTAATACCAGCATGTACTCCAGCACACACGCGTGCTCTGTCTGTCCATTCTCCATTGTAGGGTGGAGTATCAAAAGAGACAGCAGACTTATAGCCTGCCTGACCCCATCCCTATCTCACAATCCCATGAGTCTTATTATAAAGTATGAAATAGTAGCATCAGGGTCAGCATATGCCTGTTTCACAGCATTCTCTTTACACACAAAAACACAGCACGTGCAGTCTCAGAATCTGCTGCTGACACCAAGCTTCCCCAGCCTTGCTGTTTCTCCAAAACAGTATCTCACATCTGCAACTTAAGTCCAAAACAAGGAGCAGACAGCACAGGGTGCAAGAACTGATTTTCTATGAACTATACCTGTGATATGAATGTCACCTCATTTTCTCAATGTCATTCACAATCAGCCATTAATTGATGTGTGAATCTCTTGGTTCCCTTGAAGTTTGGTCCTAGTATCTGTGCCTTATAGTCATTTCACAATAGCATTCTACAGATGCATGCATCAAGAGAGCATGCAATTCTTAGATGAAAGTCTTAGTGTTTGAAAAACTCTGGAATGATCTGGTTGGGAAAGGAATGAAAATTTAATGAAAGTAACGTTCTAGCTTTCAGTCTCATACACAAGCTCTCTTCCACGTAAACATGGCTGATTTAGAAATTGCCTAATTCTGATAACCTAATTTTTAAATGTCACAAGATTACACTCCCTTGGGAATACAGTAACTCTAGGATGCCATGTAATCTTTGGTTTTAATACTATACGACTAAATACTGCACAATATACAACTTCTATTAATTATTCTTTGACTAAAAAAAAAAAAAACCTGACCTAATTAAGAGATACTCACATATTTTCCTCTTTCCAAATGTTATACTTAAGCATTAAGCCTACCCAATTAGTTAAATTTGTGCCAAGAGTATACCAAAAGCATTTGTTACTAATACTTTAAACAAAACCACCACAGATAGTCCCTTTCCTTCTCTTTTTTGAATAAAATATCACGTAATTCTACAGAAGGAATTGTATAGCTATTAACGTTTATTTAGTAACACTTGAGTCTGTATGTGAACAAAAAAGAAACACTGGTTTCACCATAGTAAGTAAAAAGCAATATTTCAAATACACAATTTAAATACATGATTCAAACTTAGGATGCAGGCTTAACTCAACCAAAAAGGCAAAAAGCATTTTGTTGTAAAGTCAACTTTTAATTTCTACTGAAGCCTTCACAAACCAAGTAAAGGCTGCTATTATTACTATTATTATTATCATTATTTTAAATGCAAGGTTTACCTAAGAATAATCATTATTTATGAAAAACAGGTTTTAAGCATGTTCCAAAGACTAAATTAAAGGCTAGTTAAAATACCTATTTTTACGTCACAGTTTAGTCCAAAAAATATTTCCATTGTTTTCCAACAAATTACCATGGAACTATTATAACTAGGGTCAAGTGTGAGGCTTTTGAATCTACATAAAAAATTACTTTCTTTTTTAAGACTTCAATGGAAAGCATTTAAATTAAAACCCTTAGTTTATTGCTCTAAAAAATAAATCCAACATTTTTAGGGAAGAAAAGTTAAAAACTGTGCAATTAATAGGCTGTAAAGTTAAATATCATTGCCAGTAACCAAATGCTGTCTGAACTTCAAGGGAACCTACTGTACATTAAATTATTAAAAAGTGAACTCATCTACCCTCTCATCAAGGCACTTTCTCAACTTTCCCATTACAATCGGCAATATAACTCAGCAGGTCAAGTCTTCCAGACCAACAACATCAGAATTTATTTTTAACTCCTGACTCCTTCCCAAATATTCCCCTTCGATCCAATCCAAAGTCCTGCCAGTTCCTCATTCACACCACCTCTCAAACGTGTTATTTTCATACCATTTTCACATTTTATTTTATATTTTCTCATGATTCACAACATCCCCTACTATCTCCCTAAAAGGGCTCCAATGACTACTGTAAGCCATTAATTCAGCTGCCCAAATCATCTTCAAATATCTTGTTCAACAACCTAACTCTAACAATCCTAAACTCTCTTGAACCTCAACCAAACTCTTACAGGCCCCCTCTGTCCTCCATCAGCTATCAAAAACACATTTCCCAAATTCTATCTGTTCTTATTTTCCCATTTAAGACCCTTTAATTCAGATTTACCAACTTGCTTTTTAAGTACAAAAATTATCTACCTACCATACAAAAAAATACCATCTCTGCGCCTCTGCCCATTCCTTCCACCTAGAATCCTTTATGCTTCTCTATAAATTCAAGTGACTGCCTCCTTTAACACCTGTTTAAAACCCATCTCTGCAGGAAGTCTTTCCTCTCCAACCAAGATGCCTCACCCCTGTAGTCTTCATCCCTCTGAACAAAGCATTTCTATTTGTATTCATAATCTTGCAGTCACCATGCTACTGTTTTCCTACTTTTTCCCATAAACTGCCTCTACAACTAAACGATAAGCTTTTGAATCCAAGGACTTCAATTTCTTTATGCATCTCTCTTTTGAACAGGGGTTCCTTAGAACAGTAGCACTAACAAATGTTTAATGATTCCCCTTTCTTCTAAACTGTCCTTAAAGTCAAGTGGTCAAAAACACATTGAACTCCAAGTTTTTAAATGTTAAGTTAAACTATATGGTAATAGAAAACTAAACACTTTAACCTACACACTTTACAAGAGTTACTCCATCCTCCATCAACATCCACGCTACCAAGATATAAGGAGTCATTTTCGAAGAAAATCCCGAAAACAAAATGAAAAGTCCAAAAATTTAACATTATAAGCTATTCTATTTTGAGCTCTGAAATTGATCTAATAAAATAATTACCTAAAACTGATTTTTAGTGGATTTTAAACTACACTACCAAGATGAAAAACATACAAACACTCCAGTATCACAAGAGGCTCTTAAGTAGCTATTATAAGATCTGCCTCATCATAGCTGAAAATTACCCCAGAATTTTAAAATATTCCTTTCAAATGACCCCATGAAGTGCTTAGAAAGCTTGATTCTTCCCTGAAAAATGCATCATCAGCTCCCCTCCTCACACACCCTGCATTCTGCACTAGTCACAAAAGTAAATAAATAATAAATAACTTTTAAAAATAATCTGCCATTCAGTTACTACCTTAGACTACCCTGGTTCAGGCAAGTCCAAAAGCCAACATGAATTGAAACCCTGAGTTCAATTAAAAGTGATAATTTTATGTTCCTTAAGGATATAATAAATTTCACATAGGAGCATTTACAGATTTTTTAAAAATCTCAGTTCTTCAGTTCTCTCCTTCTAGGCAACAAAATGGGTTTTCTTTGCCCTCATCTTGTCCCCTTCTTGAGGAATAAGGAAACAATGTAGATATTTTTGTCAAATTCTGGAAGTATGGTTTAAATAAGCTATCACTAAATATGGTTCCACATCCTGGAACACTGGAACTTACTACACCAAACACCTCAAGAACATAGACTTTTTAGCACAAATCTAGGACAAAAGTACAGTCCGGAAACAACCCTGAACACAAGCTCAAAACTGTACCAAAAACCTCAAGAACATAGACTTTTCAGCACAAATCTAGGACAAAAGTACAGTTCGGAAACAACCCTGAACACAAGCTCAAATATCTCTATTCTATCCAGGACCACAGCCTTCAGCAAAACCCATGACAGAAAGGTCTAAATCCATATTCTCATAACTAAACCCATAGTTTTACCTAAATGTGACAGGAAACCAATGCAAGAGTATTTTAAATCGTCCGAGGAAGGGACCCCTGACTTCTAGCTCATTTAACAAGGGCTGAATGCAATGACACCCCAAAACTGAACTTGATGAGTCAGTGACAATTAACATTCAACGTAGTATTTGGCAACATGACAATATAAACCTCAATCAAAACCTGGACCTACTTCCAAGTTACCTTTTGATTAAATGTAAATTACATAGTGGTAAACTGGTAATATCAAAACGAGAAGGTTAAAAAAACATTAAATCACGTATTCAATTTAAAACAATGCCTGAAGAGATACTACTGCTACTAAGTCTCTACCAGCTCCTACGGACCTTTTCTAAAGGGAGAACTCCATGCTCGCCTACAAACCTGAATGGTAACTGAATTAAGTTCATCTCTGGATTAAGAACACTTTGTAGTCACACAGGCAAGAAACAATTGTTAGGAGACTGTGACATTTAGTGTTTCTAGGAAGTATACAAAACTATGGTAACACCTAAGACCTGAGCTAACTAACATATATGCCTCTTTCCAAAAGACATATACTCCGCAAATGTACAAAATGAATGGAATCAAGTCTTGTCCTTCTCTTTATTCAAAAAGATGAGCAAGTAAACACTCATCACTACTTTAACATGGAAATACTCAAGCACTTGATAAAGCGGACTACCAGCAGCACAAAAAGTATAAGAAAAGAAAACATGTTTCAAACTAAATCATCCAAATAAAAAGCATATTCTCTCAATTCAAGGTTAATGAGACCAGGGGAGGGGGTAAGGGAGGAGAAAAGAGGGAGCAGCCTTATCCTTGACTGAAGATAGGTTTTTGCCCTTTTCCATTACCTCTGATTATTATATCAGGAGGTCTGATATTTTAAGATCCTGGTTATTAAAGGTTTCTTATCTTAAGGATGAGGTGAAGAAGGGGTGTAAAATAAAATCAATACTCACTGCTAACTTTCATGCTGCCAAAAGCTGAAGGCTGCTGCACTGGCTTGCAGCTCTCCGCAAAGGAGGTGGTTCTGGGCCGCCCTGACATGATCACTCTCTTCCCGAATCACCCTCTTTTCCTTCCTTCCTCCTTTTCTTCCTTTTGTTTTATGTTGGGGTGTTAGGTTAATGATAAATGCAGCATTAAGTTCTTCCACAAGAAGGAAAAAAAAATAGACTTCTTCCTCTTGGCTTTTCACTCCTTTTGTACAGCTATAAAAAAACAAGCGATGTTTCTCCTTCAAGACAAATCAGTATGGATATTTAACATATAGATGATTTGGGACTGGGAAAAAAATGCAGTTCTTTCCCCTCCCTTTCCTTGGAGGGGAAAAAGGGAGGGGAGATTCTTAAAAAATATATATCACGTGAAACGGGGGCAAATACTTGATTGAAAATAAGTACTTTGAATATTATAATTTCCTCGGGGATTTTTTTTCCGAGTCAATGAAGAAGGGAAGCGGCGGAAGGATCACGAGTCTCACGCTTGAAAAGAAGGGGGGATGGGAAGGAGGGAGAGGGAGGGGGGTGGCTCGGAGATGCGACGGGAAACGCTGCGGCTCCGGCAGCGGCGGGATCCGGCGGGCTGACGGCGGGGGCCCGGCGAACTGGAGGGCGGCGGAGTCTCGAGTCAGTCAGAGGCGGGCGGTGGCGGAGGCTCCTCTTCTCATTGCGCCAGGAGCAGCTGCAGGCGGCGGCTGGATCCAGCGGCCATGGCGGCGGCGGTGGCGGAGGCAGCTCCCTTCAGACCCCAGGCAGCGGATCCTCGACTGCTCCCCATACGCCGGGGACATGGGAACCCGGCAACCGCTTCCGTCCCTCGGGGCCCCCTCCCCCGTCCGCGGCACCAGTGCGGCCGCCCTCCCGCCCCTCGCCTCTGCTCGGTGCCGGCTCAGGAAGTGTCCGCGCTTTGCCCCCAGCCCGGAGCCCTGTCAGCGGCTGCGGGGCCGGCTCCTCCTCGCTTCCTTCCTTCCTTTGTCACTCGGCCCGGGTGGCGGCGGCGGCAGCGGCAGCAGCAGCACAATCCTGCATTCGCCCGGGTCGGGGGCTGTTCTGTGTGAGGAGCGCCGTCTGCGCAGCCGCCTAGCTCTTCCCCACTCCCCCTCCCCCCTCCTACTCGTCCTCCGCCTCCTTCCTCCCCCACCCAGCCTTACACCGCCCAGCGCCCCGCCACCCGCGTAACAGGCGTCTGGGAATCGCCGGCCGAGCCCCGCTCCCGCCCACTTAGGCTACGGTGCCGAAGCCCGAGCGGAGCCAATCACGGACGTCGATTGTTTGTGGCTCCTCCCGGAAAAAGCCGATCGACCTGAGAAACCAATTAGGAAGTGTCGCTGGAAATCCACGCCCAAAAAGCGGAAAATGCCGAAAATAGCCGAACGAAAAGGTGGGTTCTCCTCGTTCAGTGGCTGGCTAGAACAGAAATTCGACAATGGCACCAGTGGCCAATCAAAATCGCCGGCCCTCACAAAAAAGCTTGAAGAGTTAAGGACGGTGAAACCCGGAGTCACTGGTGAAACAGCACGGTCGGGCGCCGCGGCCGCTTTGTAATTGGCCGAAAACTCCGCTGGGAGTGTACCTCCCTCGGTGATTGGCGAAGCGAGGGGGGCTTCCGAGGACAGTCTGGCCAGTCAGAATGTCTCCTCCCTCTCCAGGGTGGAGAGAAGAAGAAAGAAAAGGGAGGGCATGTATAAAGCGCCTTCTCATTGGCCTGAACCCTTGTAGCTGGAGTGGGGGCAAAAGGGAAAAGGAGGGAGGCCGAAACCCGTAGCGGCAGCCAATCGGCACTCACTGCCGTCCAATCGCAAGACCTAGATGCAGTGTGATTGGCCTTCCGCCTCCGGCGGCGGTCCCAGGAGCGGAGAGAAGCTCGACTAGGGTCGTGGCGGACCTTGTGACGGGCTTGCCTGCGGCCGCTCTCAGCCGTTGTGGAAACCGCAGATCAGGAGCGCAGGCACTGCGCAGCCAGTCCGAAACTGCTGCGGTCAGCGGCGCTGGGCTCGGAGCGCTCAAGCGAACAGGGAATTTAGGGGCTCTCCCCACCCACGAAGAGGTTCTCTCCCCGGCGCGGCTAAATCTGCGCGCCCGAGCCTCCCCTCCGCCCGGGATAGCGCGTGCCGAGAATCAGCGTCTTCCCCGAAAGGGCCAGACGGAACTAGGACGCCTACCCGGCCGGGTGCGAACTCTTAGTCGCTAAAATAGTAACAAAGCTTTCAGAGAGGCAGCGCTTCTGGGCGCTCGCGCCCTGCTCAGCTGCGGGGGCCGTTGATAGGCCGACCGCGCCTGGTGTGCGCAGCCAGGCCGGGCCTCCTGGAAACGCCCCTGAGAAATGAGCTCATGCTGGATGCGCGCGCTTCTTGGGCGCGCCTGCCCAGCGCAAAGCGAGCCCCGAAAGCAGGTATGGGGAAATGCCGTCAGGCCGGATATCCTGAAGCCTCCGAGGAAACGGGGAGTCAGAACAGCCCATAGCTTTTGGTCGTTTGGAACCAGGGTGATCTATAAAAGTACTAGTTAAGTAGGTTTCACACATAGGCCGGTATTCATTGTTCTACAGAGAACCAATTCCTTTGGTTTGCTTTAAGACTGTGAGGTATAGTTACGCCAGGATAGCAGAAAAAGTAGAATGAACAGCTGCCATCCTGACTAATCCCGTGGTGCCTGTAATTTCCATGTGCACAGTCATCCTTTTTGTGAAGATACTATCTCCAGAAAGCACATGTAAAAATACAGTTGATCAGCTTACCTAGCTATTGCTTTGAAATACTTGTGAGGGACTTGGAACAAAGTAAGCTTTGATGGGAGACAGGAAAGTCTAGATACGGCTTGCAGACTCACATGTCTACGAAGGCCAGAAAAGTAAAGCAAATGAGTGAAATTGGCCTTGTATATATAAGACAACGGAGAATAATAAGAAATGTGGCAAATTATTGTCCGTGGTGTAACTTTCAGTTACAGGAGCAGCTGTTCAGCTCTAGCAGATTGTTGCCTATAGGCATGTGGGTCCAGTGTTCTGAGATAGATGGTTTTTTCCCAAGAGAAACCCTAAAACTGGGTTTTTGTGTGAAATCTCTGGTTGTTGGTTTTTTTTTTTTAACTTTTATTTATTTATGAGAGACAGCGGGAGAGGGAGGGAGACACAGAATCCGAAGCAGGTTCCAGGCTCTGAGCTGTCAACACAGCACCCGATGCGGGGCTCGAACTCACAAACCATGAGATCATGACCTGAACCAAAGTCGTATGTTTAACCGACTGAGCCACCCAGGCACCCCTTGAAATCTCTGGGTTTTTAAATGTTGGCAACCAATATTCAGAAATCTGGCAACCAATATTCAGAACCAATATTCAGAATCCAATATTCAGGCCAAACTTAAAACATTCAGAAGTAGACATGGCCAATGTGCAGTACATTTGCAATATCGAATCTGAACATAGGTTTTATAGCCCATAGAGACTCTTGGTTTTTGCAATTAGAGAAATCATGAGGTCTCTGGATGTCACGGAAGAGGATAAAGAATGTTAAAAGCAAACTCAGTATATGGCAACTTTGTCAGGTGAATGTTGTCTCTGCATGCCATTATGAAAGACCGTTGCTTGAGCCTGGGTGGCTCAGTCAGTTAAGCATAGGACTTCAGCTCAGGTCTTGAGTTCCAGCCCTGCACTGGACTCTGCTGACAGCGCAGAGCCTACCTGGGATTTTCTCTCTCTGACTCTCTCTCCTTCTCTCTCTCTCTCGCTCTCTCTCTCAAAAATGAACATTTATTAAAGAGAGAGAGAGAAAAAAGACCTTTGCCTCTAGTATCTAAAATGCTGTGAAGCAAAGCTTTAAATCCTGCCTTCCTCTTTACTCCCTATCCCTGCTTCCAATTATACCGGCAGGAAACTGGATGACAAAAGTTCAGGTTATACAAATTGGAAACATGGCTATTCTTGCATATACAACAAAGCACAAAAATAGTCAAACTTACTGCCTCCAAATATTTTGAACTGATGCTGTTAAAAAAAAAGTCTGACCAGGGTGCCTGGGTAGCTCGGTTAAATGTCTGACTCTTGATCTCGGCTCAGGTCATGGTCTCAGTTAGTGAAATCGAGCCCCAAGTTGGGCTGTCTGCCATCAGCTGCTTGGGAGTCTCTCTCTCAAAAAAAAATCTGACCAACAG